CATGGATGGAAGCACGGATAGATTGATGGACGCTTCGCCCCACTCCTCATCATTAATTCCGTGGATATGCTACGATTTTTTTTTTGCTACTTATACGCCATTATGCTTCACTGCATTATGAGCATGTGTGCTATCTTCGGCATTGTTTTCCTGTTCTGGTTTTTCGAAATAAATCTGAGTTACGAAACAGCCGTAGTCCTGTGCACTCTGTGCTCCTTTTGTCTGCAGCTGTAGCCCTGCTTCAGTCATAGAAGTATTGCAACTATAGCCCAACTCTTTGTTTCACATATTCAGCAGCTGCCAACCGACATGCATACTATAATTGCGGACAATCTTTCATGGCAATAGAGAGGAGGTTACAGAGCAACACTAAGCGTGTACTACCGCTCAAGTACACGCCTAATTTACTCCATTCACTTTTACGCGTAAGAATTGAAGAAAACAACATTAATTTATTTCTTTAAAGAACGTTGTTTGAAAGGCGGCACTGCACGTGCCAAAGATATACTTGTATTTGTGCAATGCCGTTTCCCATTTTCGTACGTTTGAAAACGTCGCACATTTTGCGTGCACCTCAATGTCACAATGGCGTTTCCCTCTTCAGGTGCGTGCTCCAAGGGACCATACTCATATCCTCATCGCAATGTTGGTTACGCTTCAGCGGCTCTCGCGTGCGCCTATGGCGCCGGCGAGAGGGAGGCGATGTGGAACGCGCTGAGCGGCACTGCCACCGTCATCTGATGGACGAGCTGGAAAAGCTGGATATTGTAGAAGGGTTTTTGCTTTCGGTGTGAGTGTTGCGCTCCCTGTCGTGTTTCGTGTAGAGATAGCGCGCCCCCGCTTAGTGTGTGTTCTATCAGCGGGTGAACGCGCGTGAGCGGGGGTGACGAACGCGGTTGAAGCAGATGAGACGAGCTAAGCTCTCTCTTTCGCGGGCGCAAGTAATACCAGACCCTCTCATTCCCGCTTGTTAAACCTGCAGTTGAATGCTCAATTAGGGAAGAAGCGCCCTGTCTTTCTTTAACTAGCTTGAATTGACGTGGGGGTCCGGGGGGGGGGGAATCTCGCTCGACCAGCAACAGTGAACTTTGATTCCAAGGATGCTGTCGTGATCGCTGGTCTGCGCTTTCTTGAAAATCATCGGCAGTCGGCTCGTATACCTTTGCAGGTGCTGCGCTTTCAACGCGGAGAGATTGCGCGAATGGCACATTTCTCCGCGGAGCGGCTGCAATGTCTTACACGCGTGTTTTGTTGAGATAATCAATACCCGATCCAAAAGAGTTAGCTGTGAGCCTAGCCTTGCATAGTATTATTATACTTTGTTGCTATCACATTCATTGCATCACCCTTGATGTGAAACTGTGTGTATTATTCTTATACTTCTAGCTTTACTGATATTATTATTATTATTATTATTATTATTATTATTATTATTATTATTATTATTATTATTATTATTATTATTCACGAGCGATTACGAGAGGTGTCGCAATCTACGTTTGCATTCGCTTTCTAGCTACCTTTGATCTTATCATTTCACAACACATAGCTGTAATACTAAACGAAGATGCCGTTCTTATTTGGAAGGGCATTGCTTACGAGGAAAGTCTGAGCCAACGGGTACCCCTATTAGCCTAAACCTGGCACTGCACTGGCTGGAGGGATTATGCAGCCACTTGTCTTGGATCTCAATAGAAATGCTTCGAAGGCCGTTAGTGTTTTCAGCCTAAAGTAGCGGTACGCTGCATGGTTCTCCTGACTGAGTGATAGATTCATTGTTTTTTTTTTTGTGACGGCATAGCGTTGGAGGGTTTGGAAGCCACTCGATCACTGATGCAACTCTCTCGCGAAACATTCGTCATCTGTTTGATGCCGCTATAAACAGCATCGTATCTCTTCGACACAAAGCAAATGCATCAAAGTAGCGTGTGAGCTAGAGCAGCTGTGTAAACAAGGCTACTTTTGCGTTTTTTAAGCATTTACGAAAAGAAGCGTCACAGAAATATCACCACTGGCATTTCGCAGGACTTGGGAGATTATTTTGGGTGCGATTGGGAGCGTACATATTATTAAAACAGCACGTGTTGAATTGAGCGCTTTGGAACACGTGTGGGGTTTCATCGAAGAAGAAATAGCTGTTGCCCGAAGATATAAAAGCGGATGTATTCTTATTTGTAATGAAAGTATACTTTGCGTCATAATGGTAGCCTACTATGCCTTTATTTATGTCTCGGCACCCAAGCTCTTTAATCGTAGTGCAAATGCGCCAGGGTTACAATTAAGCTGTTGTTTGCACGGATGGCTCATTAGTTAGGTTATGCTGTCCTTCAAAGCACGTTTCCTCCTTCTACATAGAGGTTCCGGAAAACCATGTACTGAGACATGTTATGACATCAGTGCTACTTTCGTAATGGGTTGCAGAACAACATACGTTGATGAGCTTAGGGACCTTAACTGGGTATCAGTGTTTGTGAGGTATTTGTCTTTTATGGTTACTGAAATTTATCGTGAAATGAGTGTCTATTACTACAACCTACGTGGCGTGAGGCTAGTTGTACTTTCATGCAGATCGATAATGTAAAACTGTCCCATTTATACACCCATGCGTATGTTAAAAAATGCCGCCCGCATGTTCCCACGGGGTAAACTCGGGTAAATGCGTCGCAGAGGGGGGGAGGGGTGGTATGGCGTGAATTTTGATCAATTGGGTATGGGTTGGGAATGCTTCATTATCATAGTCAAGCTAAAGTCAAGTAAAGGTGCCCTTGACTGAATTCCAAACGCGCGATCTAGTATCCAGTGGATGGTTGTGTAGCGCGAGCGGTAGTTTTTAGGGGCGAAGCTTCTTAAGCCGCGGGTCGTGCATTCGTGATGCATGTATTAGTAGTACATCGTAGTAGTAGGTAGCAACCTCTACAGCCGCACTAGAGGAGTCGCAGCACGCATTCATTTGAATTGAAGAGGAAACCCATGCACGTTGTTCATAAATAAAACATCGTTGTTCCAGATGAAATAACCCACAGAGACGAGTATCGGCGACCTAATATTCAATAAAATTTGCCTTGAATTTGATGCTTACTAGAAAGCACTTTGAGAACCATCTGACCAGATGGTTCTCAACTCGCTGGACGTGACCTTCTTGGTTTTAGCAAGGTTTAGCGAGAGTTGGGCCGCAGTACCATGAACTAGCTGCGGCGAAACGTGGCAACTAGACACAAAGCGCAGGCCGTAAAAGAGTGCGCGCGTGCCGCTCCTCTAGTCCGGCCGTGCCACCTCTAGTTTAGTCCTTGGAATGTCTCCTGGATAGCGGTACTTCTGTATGTTGAATATATGATGAAAAGATGAGAGATGGTGGTACTTGAAGCATTCAGTAAATTGATGGATGGATAGATGGATGGACAGGCGAAAGGACAGAAAAACAGATGCACGGATGGACGAACGAATGAACGCGTGGATGAACGGGCGCACGGACGAATGCTTGGACGGACGGATGGATTGATACACGCATAGACGGATGAACGCATGGACGGATGAATGCATAGATGGACGCGCGGATGGACTGATGGACGCTCGGACGGACGGATGGACGCACGGACGGTCACACAGATGAACACACAAACGGGCGGACGGTATCGCAGACGGACTGATGGATGCTTCGCCCCACTCATCATCAGACACTCCGTAGATATGCTGAGATTTTTTTTTACTAGCAGGCACTGCCTGCGCCGGCCTTGCGAAATGATATAGAGGGAGGGGGTCACAGTTTTGCGGCAGTTTTGCTGGTGTCTTCCTGGGCCGGCACGAGACGCACGTATGCATGGGACGGCGCCGATGCATAGGCGCAACGTCAGACAAGCAAGAAATTCTCTGCAATAATAATAAAAAAACGTGGCCATGCAGTCGCTTGCAATTCACGCTTTCACTTAGACAAACGCTTATTGTTTCTATAATGCTTCCTATCATGCCATAAAATATTTATGCGGGGTTTCGCCATGGCACTCATTATTTTGTTCTCTTGTGGCGATGTGGTGTTTCGGAAAAGGCACTAACAGCTTGGCGCGCGATGCGCTCATTTCTTCGAAAATCATGAGATCCCGCGCCTTTCAGAGGAGGCGAATATCATGATATTACACGAAGTGTGGCTGACCAACTTTAGTCAAAGTTTGAATGGTGAGCGCTGACGTGTGTTTTCTCTTGGACTAACACTCACAAAAAAAGCGCCAGGTCTGCGCGGAGGGCGCAGCGCAGTCACAGCCAAAGCTAGAGAAATGGCCTTTCACAGCCTTTTCGAAACACTCATTGGGTAACTACTGCAAGCACACTTGCTTGGTACCCACTAGGGCATTATTAATAAACTTTTGGGTAGTAGGCCGGCATTCCCTATGCTAATTTTGTCATTCTTCTGAGAAGCGTGGTATTCGCTAAACACTTGGAAGGAATTTCGTGCCAGTTCTTCATGCAGTGGCTGATGACGATGAAGGATTATGGCTACAGTTGGTACGCGCAACAGTTAATATGAGAACAAGAACAAGCTTTTGTAATAGGTCGGAGCATTGGACGGCTCACTCGTTACGCTATTCGCATTGTACGATGAGTAGTTGTTCTTTCGCTGTTTTAAAGCGCTTTATAAGTCCTATTAACGCGATTGCTTTCCCGACATCAGGCCTGCCTAAGGCAAGTTTGCCAAGTCACAGGCACCAGCGCAGCTCAGTGGTAGAATATTCGGTTAGCACGCATCGGACCCTGGTTCAAGCCCCTCTGTGGCTTTGGTGCTAGGTTTGCCAACAAGTCACAAGCGCCGGCGTTGCTCCGTGGTAGAGTACTGGGCTGGCACCCAGCAGACCCGTGTTTCGAGCCTCACTGTGTGGTGCTACGTTTTTATTCTAAATTCACGCGATGTGGTTACGGACACCAGCGACGGCGGTGGTGGACATCTGCGCGTGACCCGAGTTGTGATCTCATAACACCTTTCACTGTAAAATAAATTCGTGTATACTTACTCTTGTATTTCAGCGACGAGCGTAATCACAGGTGCGCGGACGTCAGCTTCCATGTACGTGTACCCAAGGAACCTTTTTGTTCGTGCGGCGATGGAAATGTTCAGTCCTTCCAGCTTCAAAGCTACACGAATTCGCATAGGTTTGTTTTCTTCGGCTTCTATGTAGTTGCTGCCCAATCTCTCAACTTCAGACAAGCCCGAGATGGTGACGTTGTAAAACTCCACGTGGTAGTTCCACATGGCCACACGGACTGTATAATTGAAGTCCGCTATAGATATGTCTTTGAACCGTTCTGACATGAAGTATTTCTTCATGGCCTTGTCGAGAAGCAAATCTCCATCCGTCGGCTCTTGCCCGTTGGTACACGTTACTTGATTCTGCTCTGGCGAAGAAGTGAAAAGAACACAGTTATTAGGGGGTATATTAGATTATGGAGCAAACACGATTCCTGAAATTCTTGCCTTGTTTTATTGAAATACGGACACAATAGGGGTTCTTAATTCGGAAGCAAGGGGTCTCAAACTTCAGTAATGCACGGCCTAACACAGTAGTCTAAAAAAATTGTTTTTGTTGTGCGACTCCAAACATCCTAAGCGGCATAAGTAGAATATAAGGTTCGCCCCGCCGCGGTAATCTAGCGGCTAAGGTACTCGGCTGCTGACCCGCAGGTCGCGGGATCAAATCCCGGCTGTGGCGGCTACATTTCCGATGGAGGCGGAAATGTTGTAGGCCCATGTGCTCAGATTTGGCTGCACGTTAAAGAACCCCAGGTGGTCAAAATTTCCGGAGCCCTCCACTACGGCGTCTCTCATAATCAAGTGGTGGTTTTGGGACGTTAAGCCCCACAAATCAATCAATCAGAATATAAGGTTGCACTGTAAGTGCCTATTCTTTTAGGCGAGGCTGCTTATGGTGTGGCTTGTGCGTCCCCCGTTGTGGTTGTGCGTAATCGCCTGTGGCACATACCCGAGATAGTGGGTATGTGCCACAGGGGAAGGAGAGAGACAATTGCACGACTACGATCGCGATAAAAAGATGCGAGTTGGCGGTATTTGAAGTGTTCATTAGATAGACGAACGGACAGACGTAGGGATGGGCAGGCAGACAAGCAGGCAGATGGATGGACGGGCGCGCGCACAGATGGACGCGCGGATGATTGTACGGACGCGCGGACGACGGACGTATAGAAGGCTGGACGCACGGACGAACACAGGAACGGACGTATGGATGGACGGAAGCAAGAACGAACAGACGAACGCGAGCGCGGACGGACTGCCGGACGCTTCACCCCACTCGTTAACATTCACTCCGTGGATATGCTGTGATTTTTTCGCAATTTCTTGAATTGACTGCGTTCTCTAATGGAATGACCACGGCAGCTAGTACCTGAAGCAAGCAGGTAATGAAGCCAAGAAGGCATGAAAAGGTCTTTGTTTGGGTTATTTGAAAGATACTACAAGGGGCGGGATTGGGGGTGGTGATACAACGCCCATGAGAAAAAGGAAGAGAAACGAAATGTATTTCACCTTACAGTCGTTGTAGGCAAATGCACAACAGTTCGTATGACATTCGTCTCTGATTTCTTGAAATAATGCCGCGTTACGTTTCGAATTTCAGGCTATGATTTGGAGCTCTGCTGCAATGAATATTTCTTGCGTAAACAATTGATTTTATGCATACGTTAATAACTAACAGTAAATCGCTAACGTAAGAGGTCCTGGTTAATTAGCCAAGAACAAGGAACCTGTCCTTAGCCTATCTTTGGAAGCATGGCTCTTCGCGCCTAGGTACTGACTGATCGTGTCCACAGCCGATAGGCAGTTATATACTTTACCGTTAGCCCGACAGCGGCGGTTAAGAAAATAGTGTTACCGTGTCACGAACGTTCGTTTCGGACAGCGCCCTATATATTTAGCGGCATAGCGTTTACGTGGTGTGGGCTAGGAGGATATATATAAAAAAATTGCTGGAGTGGAGGGAGCGCTCTTCAAGTGAAGCCAGCGCCGCCATGTTGTGGTGGGCAGAAAGCTCGGCTCGGCTGGCTCGGTGGCGGCCAGCGCTGCCAGTTCACCTGCAGCGACGGTGGATTGCGGTTCGTGCGCCTGTCTTTCCTTGACAAGTGTGTCTCTGCAGTGCATTCGAATGCATGCGGCTCGATTCAAGCGAGCATGGTACAATCCTGCGTAGCGTATGGGTGCACAAATCGCGCGATTCCTGCTTCCAAGATCACATTTCACAGGTGCGTACTGAAAGCACGTAGTGCTTACGCGGTCTAATACGGCTGACTCGTGTTTTTCATTGGTAGGCTTAAGGAATTAATATTTGGAAATTATTGGCAGGTTTCCAAAAGATGCTGAGACACGGAACCTATGGGAGCGAGCTGTGCGTCGTGAACACTGGAAACCGACAGATAAAGATCGCCTTTGCTCTGCGCACTTTGATCCGGCGTGTTTTGACCGGACCGGACAAACAACAAGGTTGAAAGCGGGAAGTGTGCCGACTTCGTTCGCTGCTTTTCCTGCCCACCTCCAGGCACCGGTAAGCATCGGAACTTCGCAGATATAGTGCTCTGACATCAAGGAGGTTGGAATGACGTAGACATATCTCTTCTGTCGTGTTTTGTCGACGTGACTGCATTGCTGCGTGTTTCCTCGCGAGCTTTTCGTCCCGTTCGCTCGTTTACAATATCGCTCAACACACGATTAGCGCATGATCATTGTCGAATGTTCCCGAACATGCTTTCGTGAATACATATATTCATGTTATGAGCAATAATTGAAGTATATATATCATTCTAAAAGTAGTTAATTTCCACTATGTGCTTATTTCAGGTGAAAAGGAAGCGGCCAGCACCAAAACCTCGAGGATGCAGTCCTGCTCAGCAGCAAGAGGCCTTAAATACTGAAGATCATGTCACTGTATCACCATCAAAGCAGTGGTACAAGACGAAGTTGCAGGAAACAGAAGACGAAAGGGGCTGCGTCGACTGCAGGCTTCCACTCAATGCCTTAAGAACATACATGCCAATACCAAACAACTAGTCCTGGAGATTTTGAGTCAATCACTGGAAAAGAGGTGGTTTTCACAATTGGAACAACATCTTTTTGACGTCGACGTGTTGGACAACCATATTTACAACTTGAGCAAGCAAGTATTGGAGCTGTACATCAAGATCAGGCTGCACCACATGACAAAGGAACGAAGCCGGGAACTCGTGAAAGACAAAGTTAGGTCTTTGCTTTCAAGACTCGTCATTTTTAGGAATCAGTGAAACAACTTTGCCATAACGTTCATGTTGGCTAAAGGCTGAGAAAGCTGTACAAATAAAATTTTAACACATGAAAAACGAACCGTTCTGTAGTCTCTTTAAATACTGCCAGTGTATCGGCGACTATGTGAGCACGTTTTTACTTCTCTAGCAGCAATCATTTGCGAAAAAAAAACGGCCGCGGAAGTGCACTATATGCTACGCGGCCGCCTTCCTGCCCACCACAAGATGGCCGCCGCCGGCTTCACTGTGCTCTATGGGTAAGTATAGGCGGCTTCCACTCCAGCAATTTTTTTATATATCCTCCTAGGGTGTGGGTGCCCCAGCTAAGATGGTGGCGCCATCTAGCGTAGTGTGATTGAGTTAAAAAACTGTGAAAAGGAAAAGAAAACGAGAATTTTTGCCTCTAGCACCGCGCGAAGCAACGTTACAAGTTTTTTTTTAGTAATCAAAGTGTAAAGAATTATGCACACGCACCAAACACGAAATTATATTTGTTGCCGTTTTGTTTCAACGAGTTTCAAGTTAGGCCTATAGACGTTCAGAATGAGAAACTTATCCGTAATATTCGGTCATCGAAGCCAACTGAAGGCAAGCTAAGCGATTTCAAACAGTGGTTTGGGGCGAGATGAATGTTTCAACAAGTTAACCATCTTCACTTCGAAGCGGGCCGGCTGCGGCGGCTGCATTTCCGATGGAGGCGGAAATGTTGTAGGCCCGTGTGCTCAGATTTGGGTGCACGTTAAAGAACCCCAGGTGGTCAGAATTTCCGGAGCCCTTCACTACGGCGTCTCTCATAATCATATAGTGGTTTTGGGACGTTAAACCCCACATATCAATCAATCAATCACTTCGAAGCGGGCGTCCAGAACTGCTGCCATGTTTGACGGACGCAAATCACTCTAACAAGATAACGTTAAATTGAAAAAAAAATGGCGTGCGTACGGTGAGCGGCACGGGTCACGTACGTTACTGCGCGTGTGCACTTCGATCCTGCTATCCCAGTAACCCGATAAACCTGCTTTCCTGCTATGCCCGCGGCAAACTATGACTGTCAAATGTTCGGACAACTGATTGACACGGCAAGTCAGCGTTTTGGCGTACATACAGTAGAAAATGGTGTGAAACACAGAAGCGCAAAATTTTTGAATGATGTGCACAATTTTGCCTCAATGGGAAGACCACTTGTATAAGAAATGACCGTCATGCCTTTTCTGTGCTATCAACAGAAAAATGTTCCTTATGCGCTATAGATGTTATCATTGTGGGACAGCCATTGGTGTCGTAATATACATCGTGCACGAAAAAGCACCAGTATATTGGTTGTGTGCCTCTTTATTTGCTCAATATAGTAGTTAATGACAGTATATACATTCAATGTAGCAATGTTCACTGCACCAACTTTAGCATTTTCTTCACAAGCTTCCGCCATTACATTAGCGGAGCGACACCGATTTTCTGCAGTGCTGGCAGTGCAGCACACTTCCTACGCTGCGTCGTGCGCAATATGTGATGCCCGAAAGCAAATATGTTTAACAATGCCTTTCATTATGCGTTCCAAACAAAAGAATTGCTAAATATTACTTTCAATTAACTACCCAACAATATTCATGCTATATATGGTCGCTCTTCTGACCTTCTAGCATTCTCTGTTCTCTCGTCCCGACAAAAGCGCTGGAAGCTAAGCAGAGAGGGATGGCAAGGTCAAAGAAAAACGTAACGCGCGCCTCGTGATCTTGAGCATTTTTTCTTTTTTTTTTCGTCAATTGCGGGACTTTTTCAGTTCTTTAACGAGCGAGCGCACCATGTTCAGATCAGCCGATGGCTGAGAGATGGGCTCGCTTCGTGGGATTGCTTAGCATATTTAGTTATTTTTCTAGAGAAGAGAAAGCAGTTTTTAGCTGACTTTGACAATTTATCGTGAATCACAGGCCGCGTGCTGCGCTATAGTGTTTGACTCGCGTGTTGTCAGGAGCCTCTACTACCGATCGGCAGCGCTTTCTGACCATGCCCAAAAAGTGTTGTAGGGCCGCTTTAAACTGTAAGATGAACTAACGCGAAAGTGAGTCGAAGTTTTTCTAATAAAGAAGAAAGGTGAAGGTGTGTGTCAGCCAACGTTCTTTCAGTCAGCCTGGTAGTGAATCTAATATGTTGCAGAACAAGGGTATCACACTAAAATCACTTTGTTGGTGTTTTTCGTGGCTTTTGCGAGCCATCTACACAAGTGTGGGGCTGCGTCTTCGGTGGGGGAAGAGTTGAGGGCAGGCCTGCCTACGACAAAGGTGCGGTGACACGTGTGATTTTACTTTGATCAATACGAGCTTGGTAGGCCACGTAGAACGAAGCCATAAAAGGATGCATATGCCACGCAATGATGGGTCAATGTATGCTTCCTAGCTTTGAAACATTACACGTAGTTTTCACACAAAGAATGCTGAATGGATTGGTAGCCTCGTGAGACGTCCTAGACTGGCAGCTTGAGACCTACGCGCACGTCATTGTGCAAAGAAGCGAGAGCGAAGTAAATGAGGTTGTCCAGCCGTGTTCGCGCTATTTAACAATGTAATATTGTCAAAACTAGCTTCCTTGATGATGCAGTGATTTGTGTTTGTGTTCAGCTGTGCACACTGACACCATGCTCGGTAAAGTAAGCATTGCGTACGCGAACGTTTATTATTCCATCTTGAGCCGACAAGTCTACGAGGCTATTTAAATTATTATCACCATATGCTAACAGTGATTCATGCTTCATTCACAATAGACATATTTGTACGGTAGCAACGTTTTTATTACCATTTTGTTGACCACCTGCAGGCTTTGCTTTTCGTCTCTGCAGGGCTGAGTATCTAAGGACGTCAGAAGTTAAGCCTCATGTTAGCTGCTTTAATGAAAGAAGGATTATTCTGGTTAGCGTGAGGCATTAATCTCGAGACATGAACGTCCGCTTCATATGTATTCTGTTTGTACGACATCTTTGTGACTGCAGCTGGTTGAAGTCAATAATTCGATTGTACTTGCGTGAGTTTTATTGATTGCGCATCACAACGCTTGCTTAGTTAGTAAGCAAACGTATTCTATAATTTATGCAGTTATAATATATGTGAGCATCACTTCTTGCGACAGCATGTATCCCCTTTTGCGGCTTCTTATACTTCCACCTTATTTTCGATGGAACTCACAATGGCTCTCCTCGTAGAGACGTGGCTTTCATAGCTAAATAGAGATTCGTATGTCAATTCTGTAACAGGTGCAGACGATGTCAGAGCAGCTGAGCAAACGGGAGTCCAGTGGTGCGTCTTCTTTTCGTGGTGGCGTAATGTTAACGTATACACTTGAATGCGTATTCTTCTCCACGCAATAGCTTTTTTTTCTTCTTTTTGCAATTTCGAACGTGTTTCGCTGGAGAATTCTCTTTGTTCGGTTGACGTCAAATAACCAATATACAGGAATAGACAATGGTACTATTCACAAATACTTATTCTTGCAATGGCGCTGATAAGTGGCATCACGGCGCGCTCAAAGAAGCTGAATATCGCAAGGCGATCGGCATGCGGCCTTGCATTCTGATTAGTAGCCGTGACTAGCGTGCACAACAATGTCGAGTAAGGGGTACGGCAAGCTTACTCCAAAAACCCTTGCAATTTAGGCGTTCCTCGTCATGTTTTTGCGAATACCAAATAGAGGAGGAGGAAGAGCTTTTTCTGATAAAGTGGTTCACCAAGTGGAAATGTTTGCAAGTCCTGCCGTCATAAAAATGGTAGATTATTCCACGTTTTCCTTCAATAATGTACTCTCTTGGGCTAGTTGGTACAAGTCAAACATAGGTTACGGAGTTTTTCGCCGCATGGATCTACGGACGGCATCATTTGTATGGGTCCTCAGTAAAATGGCCAGTATTCAGTAGAGGAACTTGCGAATTTCTGCGGCGCAGCAAGTGTTTTTGCGTGCAATCTCTGCTTTCACTAATATTGAACAGCTTTACTAATGAAAAAAACTTTAATCCAGTCGAACCTCGCAAAAACATGCGCGTTGTAACTGACGAGCCGTATTTCAGACAATGAATCACTCGTAATCACTCACTGGTTGTTGCAAAAAGTCATCAAAGCGTGCTAAATGTGAGCCTAAGGAACTGCAGAATGGAATTGTGCATAAAGTAAGAATGGAGCTTCAGGCTGATTTATTGAAAGAGCGAAATATTTCTGTAAATAAATAATTTGTTGTAAGCCTTGAATAGAAACTACGCATTAAGCAAGCCAGCTCTGCCAATTAAATAACATGCATAATTTATATATGATACCAGTAAGCGTACGTACCACAATGTCTTGGGCGTTGCAGGCAACAATAGCAACGACGAGGATAGCTGTCTTCATGATTGTATTCCTAAGTGACGGTCCCCGTCTTTTTCCCGGTCACCTCTGAAGACTGATGGCTGAAAGCTGATTGTAGCGGGTCATCTTTGCCTTCACTTTCATTTATGGGCGAGAAAGAGCAACCAAAATGAGAACGGAAAAGGGTGTCTCACTTCTTGATGCGGTCAAATGAGATTGTTAACCGTCTCGCTGCAATTGAGAAGCGACAGGAAACCTGAGCTTTCAAACGACGGTAGAGCGTAGTGTCAAGAAGCGGCGTCATAAACGTGTGAAGGACCGCGTGCTAAAAACTTGCTGTTGTGTTGTAGCCGCTCTGTGAATTTTGCTGCCGCCTTTACCCCTATTGTTTGAAACTTAAAAAAAATAGCAAAGGTTCACACATCGCTATGCTTTTCAACAAAGCGATATTGTGCAATCTGCCCTAATGCTGTCATATTACACTGTTGCTGCCGTTCGAAAATTATGCGACACTGCAATAACTTTTGCCATAGCAACAACTAAGGTCTCTGCAGCTGTGCAGATTATTGTGGAGTGATTTATACTGGGCATGCATTTTGTCTGTAGGGTGTGCGACGCCTGTTCGAGCAATTATGTCATGCTGTGTGTTCGATTTTCAGCAATCATTTTCACAAAAAGGTTGTCCCTCTCAGAAAAGAAAGAATGACAATGACACAAATCGAATAGCGTAAGCAAGAGCAATATTGTTGTTTATACCGCAATTCTCAGCAAAAGGCAGAAGCTTCTAACGATGCATTTTTTCTTTCAATCTGTGAGAATCGAGAAATATTTCTTTTTTTTATTCGAATTTGGAGGTTCAGCCCACCAACCCCGGCAAAAAAAAAAGGCACCAGAACATGCACACTCGTTAAAAAAAGCAGTTACAATATTTCCGTTTTGCCTTAGATATCATACTCACACCTGAATATAATACTGCAGTTAGCCATTGCGGAAAAGTGGGATTCTTTTCCTGGCTTTGTTAAAACTTCAGGTAAGCTGTAGATTAACCGGTGCTTGCACAACTTCGTGGACTGCTGTCCGTCTTGCCTCGTAGGTAGATGCATAGATATGCTATCAATGGAGAGGGGGGGAGGAAATGATGCGAAGGATGATGTCGGATGCTGAAGGCACTGGTATATTGAAAGAGGCAGCATAGCACACGCATATATTTTGATATGACGTGAAATCTTTGAAGTGTAATTATACGTGGCTCACTTGGTAAATGAGCTTGTGTATAATAATCTGCAATAACTTTATGCGTGTCGCTTCGGTATGCGGCTCGAGGACAACGCCCTGCGTTGATAAACTTGGGTTTGAATATGGAGAGAAAAGTGGCATGTTGCACACGCTTGCCTATGACCTCTTATGTGACGTATCTGCTTGTGTGATCAAGGCGACGCAGAAGAAGTGCTCGTATACTATGGCCCGTGGAACTGCCCACTATACAAAAACTAGTTCCTCTGAATCTTTTCGGAAAATTGAATAAACATGATACCGCACCCACCAAGGCCTGCACTGCACCTTACCTCAAATTGTGATGATAATAAGAGTGTCTGTGTAGTGAGTTGAGGGTCGTCCGGTGATGTCAATTGATATCGATGATAAGAAAATAATTGATAAACCCTAGGGGGACATTTTGTGGGAGCCGAGACTGTTAAAAAAGCTGTTTTCATCCTACAATAAACTCGGTAATTCCCCCATCGTTAAAACCAGCACTTTTTTGCGTCACTTTTTATTTGTATTGAGTACAACGACACACTACCACCAAAACGAAAATAAAATCAAGCATGTGTAATCTACACCATACTAAGAACATAACTTGACGTTGATAACAGTTAGAACGCGGCTAGATCTCACGTAAGGGTGAAGTCATCTTATGCCGTATGACCGCCGCAGAAGGTACTGTGTCAATGGGTTCCTTCGTTTGCAAAACAGGAGCGTGTTTAAATGTCAAGCAATAACGAGCCACAATTCGCGCCGTAAATTGACTTAGGAACGAGGCAAGCCACACCTAATTGTGATGAAACGTTAGCTAACTCGTGAATAAGGCAGCTCATCTGTTGGCTATAATGTGTCAAGGAACACGTGAAGGTTCAGTTCTTAGCTGCTTGCATTTAAACGCGCGATAAAGCTCTTGTAAAGAGATAGAGAAAGATGCAAGAAAGAGCGAAAGTGTGTCTGCCCGCCCGTCCACCTGCCTGCATGCCTGTTTGCCTTTCTACTTGCCTGCAAAGTTGCCGAACTAAATTAAGACCTGAAAATGAGAGATCTACGCCATGCCTGATCTAGTCAGAATCGTAAGGCACCAGTGACCTGTTATATTCTCAATGGAGCCTGAAATTATCAAGACATTTGTATATAGGCAGGCCGTTCACATAGCAGGACCACTCCTTGGATGCCTACATTTGTAAACTGCATCGCTCTCATAGCGTCTAACTTGAAAAAGATAAAGAGGAAAGAGATGGTGGTCAACCATGCAGTCGCGAGTAGTCGGCAACTCAGCAAGAAGCCTGGCAGTGAGATGTTGAGAAGAGAAGCAATGAAGGGAGAGAGAAATGAAGGAAGAGCTTTTCAACTATCCTGGTTCACAACTCCAGAACAGTAGGTCGCGAATACCAGTCTGTAGGGCAAAGCCCACTAAAAGCTGCACAACAAGACACATGCTTTCTGTGAAAAGCCCAAGGAAGAAGGAAATAAGAAGAAAGAGAGGAAGGTTGGGTGCCCTGTATTGCGGAAAGGGACATGTGTGATAAAGACTGACAGAAAAGAGATGCTTGGGTAGGCTCCTATAAAGAAGTGTACTGCGAAATTAGGACAGGTACGTAGTACTACGAAAAGTTAGCAACAAGATGTTTTGAGTGTCTATGGTTGGAGAAAACTTCTCGTTAGTCATTCGGGGAATTTTTCGCTTGTCGTAAAAATGACGCTAATTCATCAAAAAGCGTGTTCCGCAAAGTTGCTAAGTGCGGGAAGAAGTTATTCGGCGATGCGTGATGACTAATGCCAGTGACATGACCTGTGTGGGCTGATGTCAAAGAGGACCACATGCGTAGAAATGCGAAATGAGAAACAAAAAACGTGACTGATCTGTCTTTCTGGAAATCAGTATAGCACGAACATGAAAAGCGTCTTCATCGATGCAGTTGTGCGTTCATTGTGCATTGTTCCGCCACAACGGCGAAAGAATGAATGCTACAAGAACCAACTGTAATGTCACGCGAAGAAAGGCAAGCAGCTGGAAACTTGGAGCGCGCCGCTCAAGCAAAAAACATACACGAAATGATCATTCGCAGGACAAGCGCGGACCAACATCTGCTACAGCTAGGCACTTGAAGTGCGCTACTGCACGAAACGAACGCACAATTATATATTGGGTGAGCGCAAACAACTGTCACAATTATCGCTCAATTGTGTAAGAGCGTCACGCTCCTTTCGGAAATGCCTCTGCCGCGGTGAACCAGTTACTAAGGCGCTCGGCTGCTGACACAAATGTCGCTGCTTCAGTCATGGCCACAGCGGTTGCATTTCAATGGAGGCGAAATCGTTGGTGATGTCAGCGCACGTGAAAGAGCATTATATGGTCGAAACTTCCGGAGCCCTCCACGACGGCGTCCCTCATATAATCATATCGTGGTTTTGGGACGTATAACACCAGATATTATAATTATTATTAGCGAAGTGGCCTTCGTGCTCTGCTGCGCGTTGTCCTGGAAAAGCACCAAGGTCACTTCGCTATGATGGCGAAAACGCGCTGAAGTTGTGGAGCTCTGAAGACAGCCAAACGGTATATAGCGTATAAAAATAGCTTGACGTTAGCGTGGGCACATGGTACGCTTCATGGCCTAGCCGTTTCGCCCCATGCACTGCAGAGGAAGAGTTCGTAGTTTCGACGCCTGGAGCCAAACTTCTTGTGTTTTTTTTCCTTTGAAATCCGGCAGAAGAACTTTTACAACATCATATTCATGACAGAGATACGTCGATGGAGCCGTGGTGCACCCCGATAGAAAACACTTTCGAGTTGAAAAAAAAATTGAAACAGGCAAAAATCAGCTATTGGGTGACATCACTGAAGAGCTGCAAGCGGTATTGTATATTTGAAAGTAATTAGCTTTGTGTACAATAATTATTGCATTAGAATTCGCAAAACGCTTTGCTCCAGGGTAATTGCGAAAGTATGAGTAGCGTCACCGGCCTGTGTCATGACTCGTGTCGGCGTGGTGGTTTGGGGAAGCGCACGAACTTCGAACGTAACGTTCTAAAGCTCTGCGAAATCGCAGTGATGGCAAGCCAGGGCAACGTTTGGTTTACTTGTGAAATACTCACCTTTTGAAGGCAAGCAACTTTAGAAAGTGCCAAGCTTTAGATGCTTGAACTGGTTCACAATGAAGAATGAGTTTGGGAGGATTTTTTTGTTGTTATGCTTTTCACATTCGTAAAGAGCAGTAGCAGGTAGGTGCCTTACAAGAGTGCAAAGTTTTTCTAAATATGATGAAATAAATTAAGAAAACTTCTTCACGCCACCGCCAACGGAGGAAAACTCATTTCTTGTGCTAGGGCTCCTTTTGGGATTACTGAACTTGGGGCAGCACGTTGACGCACGTGTAAACGTCGTTTGTAACCTCTGGTAGATGACATATGTGCTTAAGGGCTAGATGTAGTGAATGATCGTACAATAGGTTAGATGTGACGGCACGCGTCCATGAGAAAAAGAGAAGACAACACAAATTTTGAGAATGATGAGTTTTTTCTCAATTTCATTCGTTAATGAAGTGCAAGTTGTTCACTTTTGTCCGGGAACTTTAGTTTTGCTGTTGTGCCTAGAATCGCGTGTATTCTCGACGTTGTAAGGTTGACAGAGGGATGAAGAATCACAAAGTGGTTTCGTTATTGTTATTATTATATTAAATTTTTATTGGCGCAAATGCATCTGAGGCCAGATAATGCCAGTACATATCTTATATGATAGCAGTTGTGTAGCTTAAAATGATCGTTTAAATTATATGCAATGTAATCCCATATCTAAAGTATCAAAATAAATACACTGTCTAATAATAAACGTGAAGATCAATACACTGCCTTCGAGGTAGTTTATCATGAGAAATTAGTCAGGCGGTCTTGTTAAGAAACAGGCTGTAGCTGAAATGTGGGGCCCAGCCTGGTGACTAGGATAAAATGATAAAACTTGCAAAAAGTTCACTTTTACAAGATATTTAAGAACTCTCTTAACATTAAACATTGGGTCGAGTAATAAAGAAAGCGCGGGATGAGGTGGTATGTGGTAACGGTAAAGCTCTTCAA